AAGTACATAATTGTAATCTTTCAGTAAAGATGTTTGTTAATTATTTTTGCTACTCAATAAGAAACAGCCTCTTCACCTTTAAAGAATGTTAAATATCTCTCTGTTTCTGCTTCCCAGCTTTGTGTTCTGGCTACATATTAATAAAAATAATTCACTGAACACTTATTTTGGGCAAGCCACTGAATACAACAAGAAAGATTTAAGTCAATATATAATTTTTTTAAAATAATGTAACATCTTATGGAGATGTTATTAAAACTAATGCCTGATTTCAAATTAATGTTTGCTGAAGTATCTGTTGTAAATTATAAATCTTATAAAAATTTTGACATTATTTTATGAAACCTAATTCGAATGCTTTTTATGTTCTCAGAAAAGTAGCCAGAAAATGATGTCTGCAAATAATATTCAGCTGGATTTACTATTACTGTTATTATTATTATTGAAAGCAAATGTTGCATGCAGATATCACCTACAACAGGCTCTGAGGAGCTTGCCTCTGCTTCTGTGGTGCCTCTGGAATGGAACAAAACGAAAGCTAGGAATGGAATAGCAGCACAATAAAATTTAAATTTGATTTTTTTAAATTTATGGGATGTAATATTATAATGATATTAGAGGTCTTGGTCAAATTAGATTTGGGAAAAAATTTTTATTACAACTCTTAAAATGCTTACAGAAACTGTAGTCCATGCCCTCCTTCAGTAAGCAGAGTACCATGATTCCAACTGATACCTATTTTTGGCAGAGGCCACAAATTCCAACACCTGAAGGCCCAGTTATAAAGGGTAAATACATAAAGCAGGTCAATTAAAGCATAATCAAAAGCATATCTGACATATGCCCCCAATATATCTCTTCCTAAGCAATCTTTTATTAAAATCACTCAATATCCCAGGGAGGTGAGATACTGCTTCATCACTTCTGTTCTGTAAATGAGAGAATGGAGGTAATGAGGAGTAAGTACCTGTCTGCATTCACACTCCCTTGTACAGCAATGCTTGCAATGGACACCAACCAGTGCAACTTCAAGACAGGAGTCCCTGCTCACCATAAATGTGGACAAAGTAATTATAGAATGGTAAATGAAAGTCTTTGTATTTCTCATTTATTGCCACATAAGTCTGAGAGGTAGACAGTAGTATTTATATGTGTTAGATATGAATATGGGTACAAATATAGATATGGAAATGGGATTCCAGGAATATTGGCCGCTGCTGCACAGTCACATAATGTATTAGTCACCTTTCCTAGCTAATTACCTGAAATAAGCAACTTATAAAGAAAAAAGATTTATTATGACTCACAGTCTGGCTGTAGTCCTGATAGGGTGCTCCCATTGCTTTGGGTATATGCAGTGGTGGGAGCATATGGCAGAGTAAAAGCACATAAATCATGGCCAAGGGGCCAAAGAGAGCAAGAATAAGGAACCAGGTTCCAACAGCCTCCTTCAAGGACTCACCCCAGTTACTTAAAGACCTTCCTCTAGGTCTCACTTCTTCAATGTTACACCATCTCCCATCAGCACCTGATAAGGACTAAGCTTTCAACACATGGGCCTTTGGGAAAGAACATGGAAGATCCAAACTATAACACTTAGCAAGCAAATACAGAGCCAGCTGGGAGATGAAGCTCCAGATGGTCTGTTTCCAGAGTTCCTGCTCTTGGTGTGGTTCTCAGATGGAGCAATTTTACCCTCTAGGGGACATTTATATATCCGGAGACGTGGTAGTCACAGCTGGAGAAAGGAGGTGCTACTCTCTAGAGGGTAGTTCAGGGATGGTGCTAACCTTCCTGCGCTCCACAGGATGCCCTCACAGCAAAGAATATCCAGCCCCAAATGTTGAGAACCCCTGCTGTTGAGAAACCCTGATCTATGCAGTTATCACTGTACCTCCATGTAGCTAGAAAATAGGCTATCTGGGTAGATGGGGACTGACAACATATACTTTAAAGTTTCCATCTCTAAATAAATCTCTGCTGTCAGATTGCTTTCATGTTATTTGTCTCATTCCTCTAAAAAATGAACCCTAAAATATAATCCATATAATTGACATTTAAGTTGCTGGGGTTGTTTAAATACATTATTATAATATTCAGTGTTACAAATTCTAAATTATCTTACAAACTTTTTATTACTAATTTTACCTGAGATGGAGAGAAACTTAAACATTTCTCTTTATCCACCTAGCTACACACATTATTAAACTTCTACCATACATCTCTACACAGTTATCTCTTTAACCGAAATTGCTCCCAATGAATCTTTCTTACCTCCTCTCTCCTTCTGACATTTATAACTTACTTCCCACAGCCTTAATGACTTAGCAGCTGCCTTGGCATATTGCTTTACCTTCTCCCTTTTGCCCCTGACATGCCTGTTATCTCTAGTAATTATTTTCAGGGTTAAGAGAAACAACATGGAATGAGTTAGACGGGAGAGAGTTAGATGGAGGGGCAATGACGTCACCAGAAGAGGACAGCTGGCTGTGAGGGAGTGGGTTCTCCTGCTGGCCAAATAAAGCACATAAAAGATAAAATCCTAAAAGATACTATGCTTCATGGAGGAAGGGGGAAGGGGCTTCAGAAAGGGCCATTAATCCATAGGTCTCTTGTCAACGGCGGTTTATTTAAACATCTGTTACACATTTGTAATTTTTAGAAATATGCCTCAAGGTACTTGGAATTTTCTTTTAAAACAGATTTCTCTCTAGGGTTTGAAATGTGTTCTTTTAAGCTTAAAAATCTGACCAGTGTTTTTAATGAGCTTCTGACCAAACTAGAATATTCTAGATTTAAATTTTGTGTACGTTTAGGCAATGTGATTTCCTGTTTTTGCAAGGGGAGCGAGATTAAACAGGCTCCAAAAGCTGCTTACATTTTCAACTATTCTTTAAATATTGATTTTTATGTGAGCTAAATATTAGCTGGTTGAAAACATATGGATTAAATTTTCCTTAAAATATGAATAGTTTTTTTAAATTAAGGAAAGTGAGTGTTTGGCAAGCTGCAATTATTTTTTGTCAAAGCAAAATTATTTGAAAAGTAGTTGCTGCCGTTAAAACAATATTCCCAATACAACTAGATTCACCTTTCCTTTACTGTTCTCTTTAATTTATTAGTATCATCCAAACAGTTATAAATCTATTTTAAGATTATGCATTTTATTAGGAATAAGAATTTAGCTGGCAGAATTTATGTTGCAAGAATTTTTTCTATTACTTTAGAATTACATTCTTAAGAATTGCTCTGGGCAAAATTGTTCTTATTCAAACCCATGTGGTAATACTTTTTAAGCCTTTCTCATAAATTAGTTTCATATCACATTTACATGCTACCCATGAAAATATAGTTGTTGCTGCCACAACAAATATAGACAATATAGAAAGAAAAGGATATTTATAGTTTCTCTTTGGGATTGAATCCAAGGTATCATGCATGCTAAAGACACGCTCTACCACTGAGCTGCATCCTCAACCCTAATAATATTTTTAAACATCAGACTATACTTTATGTCTATATTTGTAAATTTAGTATGTGGATCATGGAATTTAGTTTGTAAGTGAAACTAGTCAATTTAACTTTGTCCTGAGTTCACATAGTTTCCAAAATACAGAGATATTAATAACAAAACTGTTTAGCAAAAATTTCCCATAAAGAAAGCACAGCTAAGAGTGGTGAATGTTGCAAGGAGCAAAACCAATGAAATAATTTGAACATGAATGACACTACGATACTAGTTAAGCTCAGTCACAAAAGCTTTGGCTTGTGCAGTTAGGCACTAACAAACATGTAGTGGAACTATAGGCAAAGTTTGATATCATCGCTCTGAGAGATGTCCAGTTATGAACTGTAGTAGAAACAATCACTTTAATTCCTAGAAGAACACTTACAGAAAAAAATGAGAGTACCATTTTTAACTACATAACTTTAGATAGGAATTTTGGTCATTTTTAATTTCTCACATTTTCTAACCTAAATTTAATTTTTCACTTCTGGGGATTGACCCAGGCCTTGCACATTTTAGGCAGGCCCTCTAACTCTGAACTACATCTCTAGCCCTTTAAACACAACTTTATTCCCTTCCTCCTACTTATCTGTAATTTGTTACTACCACAAAGAATGCCACAACTGGTGCTGCATATATTTTATCAATCAAAATAAAGAAGGTCTATAATATATCCTATAGCAGATTAAGTATAGTGTTAATAAATTGAGAGATATTTAATCTATATTTGTACAAATAGCTGGAAATGAAAATCATACTTGCTATTAGTTTTGAATACCTAATGGATACAAGAAACTACATCAAATACTTCACATACTATTGTGGGTTTTTTAATGTTGCCATCAGTCCTGGGAAGGCAAATATTCACATGTTAACAGAGGATGGAATTGAGAGCTTTTGTCACAAAGTGACAAACCTAGGATTTGAGCACAGGATTTTCTGCTTCTAAAGAACATTCATACTGTATCATGTCATAAATCAAATATATATATATATATCTCTCCACATATGAGTGTATATATTTGTGTGTATATATACACATATATGGTTGTATATGTGCATATGTTTGTAGGTATATACATATACACAAATATATATTTACATTTCAATACTTGTTACTGAATTTTGCCTCAGAATGTAATTTTCACTAATGTGTCTCTATTTCTAAATATTAAATTATCTTTCAATTCCATTACTTTGATTCCATGTCAATTTTTTTAAAGAGGTCTTGATAGTTTTTTGTACGTGTTGAATTAGACCTTCTTCATTTCTGTGTTATGGGTTTTTATAGAGCCTTTGCCTATAAAAGCATCCTTAATACATTGATATTGATGTTCTATTTGAAAATAATTTAAATTCCTTTAGTAAAACCGTAACCCTTGCCAACAAAGTACATTGTGATGTCAATTGCATGATTTTCTTCACAATATATATTTGGATATGTGTGGGGCTGAGCTACTAAAGTTCAGTTTTATTTTATCATCTATTACAGGAACATCCCTCACTAGGTCAACTTTCAGAAAAACTAATAGACAACAACATTAATGTCATTTTTGCAGTTCAAGGAAAACAGTTCCATTGGTATAAGGTATGTTAATTTCAAAAACACAAAATTTGAATATTTGCATTGTGGCTGAAATTAGGACTCTTCTTGGAATCAGAAATGGAATACTGTACTAAATAGAGTGTACTTTATAGTATCTCAAGTTAGCATTTAAATACAAATTCTATCTAGGTTTATAACATCTAGAACCAAGTGTGTGTACTAAGTGCTGTTTGAGAATTAAATTCAATACATATTAACACAGCCTGGTATTTGACAGTAACGAAGAAGAATTTTACAAAGTGAACACTGTTTCACACTCCATCTGTGCACTTTCCATGTACAGAGCCCTGCTTATATTCTGGCCCATAGGCATGTCCTTACAATAGGTTAAAGTTGGAGAACATCAGTTTAATTTTCAATACCACCAGCATTCCTAGCTTTGGTCTAGGTAGGGTGTGTCCAAACTTTGGCTCGCTTGGGCCACGTTGAGTGAAGAGAAATTATCTCAGGCTACATATAAAACATCTGACATAGTTAATGGATATAAGAAACTAGACTCTAGATTGTCCAGAACAGTACCAAGAAGAACCACAGTAGTGAATAGCCAAGCTAATTAAAGCTTCTGTGCCTGATGATAATTTTGGTAGTATCCAGAATCCTTTGGGTCAAATGGGACTTGCAAATAGGATAGATGTCCGGCAGCAGTGTCTCTCTGGAGATGCCATGAAGTGCCCAGCACACAGAACTGCTCTCTTGTGACCTTACTACATCACTCTTTTCAGTCTTTTAGGGTCTCTCTTCCCAGAATCATTTCCATGCTGCTGCACTGCCCTATTATGCATCACTGTTCAGTGGTCTACATCTCCCTTGCTTGCTTTATTTCTTCCTTCCACTCACTGACTGTAAAACCCTCTCAGTGCTCAATCACCAGTGCCCTCTATTTATTTTTTAAAACTTTAGAGAAAATTATATTTTCTCTTGCCTTCAACAAAGAATCAAACTTATTTGCATTTGCCAAAAAGCTGGTATTCATTCACCCATGTGCCTAACACCTATGAATCATCTTAATCATCTAATTATTATTAAGTGCTTTAATCCTATCACTTCTTACTGCAGAAATCTGCAATGAAATTTTAATTTCCCAATTTCTAAAATATATATGCCCCAGAACCATTTTTTTGATGTAACAACTAACATCCACAGAAGTAGGACTCTGGCCCAAATTAAATGAACCAAAATACTTTAATAATAACAGGAACAGCTTTTATTTACCATGTACTTAACTATTGTCAAGCACTGAGATTTTAAACATTAATTTATCTACTCATCCTAGCTATTCCTAATAATGAGGGCACTTTTATTAGTATTCCCATTTTAAGATTAGGAAATATTTAGAGAAGTTAACTACTTGCCCAAAGTTGTCTACCACCCAAATCCTGTGCTCTGAGCCTCTATACTTAATAGTTGATTTTATGTACAGGTTGTTTAAATAGCTTTTCTCCTCTCTTTCCTTGTTGTTAATTATTTCTTCAGGCATGATTGCCTCTAGGAGTTTCTCCCTACTCCTTTGTAAATATTAATGAAATTTTGTGCAGAGTAAGAATCATCAGGATCTAGAAGCCAGAGAACTCCTGTGTGTGCCACAAATTCACCTACTTCAGTGCCCAGGGGTCTTCTTTCTCAGACATCTTTTAAGTGGTTGAAGCAGCTTCATAACCCACTTCCCAAATCCATTCTACACATGGCTGCCAGGATGATCTACTAAAGCCACAAGTATATATTCATACGAGTGCCCAAAGTGAAAGGTTCCTGGAGCTCCCTCTGATTTAGAAGGCCAAACTCTAATGTGGCATATAACACCTTTTGGACTCTACCTGTCTGTCTGGACTCATTCGGTGACTGTTCTCTGCCTGCACTGTCCCCCTAGCTGTGATTCTAGTTGTCCTGTGCATACTCACACTAAGCAGGACTTTTTCTGTCCTTTGTGCCTCTGTTCTTGCCGCTCTCCTTTCATGCCCACACTTGGAAGTCATTCTGTCTCATTACTTGGTTAATTCTTATTCATCCTTTAGGACAGAGCTCACAAGTTGCTTCTTCAAGGAAACAGTCCCTGATAACCTGCCCCTGCTCTGAAATGCTCGCTGAGAACCCTCTTAATAGCATCTGTGAATATCTCTGCTGCTTCTGTGTACATTGCTTTATGAAAATGTCACTTATATACCTGAGAGATCCTTAAGGATAAAAATTATGTAGCCTAATCATTTAAGGTAGCATATAGTAAGTGTTCAATAAAAGTTGAATAAATGAATTTTTTAAATTTAAGTGATATAGTTTTTCTATGATTTGAGATACCAAGTAGTGCCTAAATATGGCTGGAACTTAATGTATGAACAGAAAAAAAAAAGTGAATAGATGAATTTCAAGCTTTTCATAATTTGATTCCTTATAAATATGTACCCTTTGCTCTAATGAGACTGGTTTCTTCTCAGGCAGATCTGTGAGCCTCCGCTTATTCTCATTTTCTCTCTAGGAATATCTATTGTTACTAAATATTATCCATTGTGAACATCTGCTACTTGAAGCTCCCATCTTTAACTGTCTTTTCTTTCCGTCTGGCCCAACATGTCCCAAAGGTCTATACAACACTCACTCTAGAAAATATCCATCTATGTTATGTGAGAAAAGAGTTCGGTAACTAAAGAAGCATTGGAAAATGCTGCATTAAATAACGTTAAATTACTTCCAAATTGCAGGCCTACTCTGACCAATTTCATTTGCAAAGGTGCATTTTGAGTATTTAAATTGGAGACATCATATACAGAATTTCCCAAACTTATTTAACATCAGAATCCTTTTCATATTTGAAGTCTCCTGTGGCTATGTCCCTCCAAAATACTTTGGGAAGAGGTGGTCTATATTTTGATTAGATTGTTAGATCATCATGTAATTCAGGATGGACACACACACACACACACATGCACATACATGTGCACATGCATACACTACCATTTCTGGGTTGCTTAAATTTTCCAAGTCTTAAACTTCTTTTCATTCATGCAATGGCTCACTTTCCACTGGTAACTAAAAACTGTTATTACTGATTATTGACCCATGGCATAGAGTTATGTAAATGCTATTAATATGTTTTTTTAGGACCTTCTACCCCTTTTGCCTGGCACCATTGCTGGTGAAATAGAATCAACAGCTGCAAACCTCAACAATCTAGTAGTCGAAGCTTATAAGGTATGTATAAGTTATACTCAAATTTTGCAAAGAAACTTCCCCATTTCTGCAGTAAGGAACAAACTAATGCTGAATCATCTTGATGGTACAAGTAAAGAGTGGTATCATGAAAGCAGTGGTAGAAAGAACACAAGGTTAGGGATTAGAACATGGAGTTTAGCCCTGGCTCTGCCATGAAGTTGCCACTATCCTTGTGATAGTCACTTCAGTTTTCTGTGCCTTCCTTGTCTTGTGACAATAGCTTAAGATTCTGCCAGAGGCTACCTAAATTTCCTTCAAATCCAGTGCTCGGGGAGTCACAAATCATAGCTAGAGAATGCAGTTTATTACCAAGATTGAATAAACCCCTGTGTCATAAAGTAAGCAATTCACATTGCGATTTAAAGCACCAATCTTCCATGAATGTACTATCAGGGATGTAAAAATTACTAAGAAGATTCTGTTGGCTTCTCTATGACCATTTGATTGCTTAGACAATTATTTACCAGTCTTAGCAAAAGAGTTTGACAAAAAGAATATTGTATTGAATCAGTGGTCATATGCTGTCATCAGTTTTGCAGAGTGATGCCCTGAATGCAAGAATATTAAAGAAAATCTGCTTTCTCAAACTGTGTCATGCCTGAATATAATAATTACTGTCAACGTGTTGTGATAATAGTGACTATCACTTTCACACTACTAAGAAGCAGTCACTTTCCATATATGACTTCGTTTAATGTTCATACTTGACCTTTAAGGCAGGTGTTAGTTACTGTATGTGTGGAAACCAAAGCTCAGAGAAGTGAAGCAAATCAGTCACAACTAATAAGCAAAAGCAGGATCTGAGTCCAGGTGTTCGTCTATCCCATGCTCCAGGTGCTTCCTGCTGTATGATACCATATGTATGATGTCTACCTTGAATTTATGGGCCATTTATAAAGTCTTACTTCCCCACATTCTCTGACTCTGTTCCCAACACATGCAGAATTTAACCAAGTAAATAGCAGCCAGGATGCTGCTGAAATTCCTCAGGCTTCTTCTCCTCTAATTTTCTTCAGGCAGTATCTTCCATCAACTTTGGTACAAAGGAAACGACAGGAGACAGACACAGAATATAAAATGAAGAACCTGTTTAAACTTATTTCTTAAAAGGAAAATTAAACTTATTTGCCTAGAATTTTTTTCTATGCGTGAAAACTATATTGAATAAGGAAAAACATCATAGGCCCGGGATTTAGCTCAGTGGCACTGCGCCTGCCTCACAAGCACAAGGTCCTGAGTTCAAACCTCAGTACCGAAAAAAAAACCGAAAAACATCATAAATTACATCTCTCTCATACTGTTAAAAAAAAGCATTAAGAACAGGGAACTTTTTTATTAAACAAAAATCAAAGCTGTATACAATTCATTTCTTCTTTTTTTTGTCTTGTTTTGTTTTGTTTTTGAGACTGGGTCTCGCTATGTAGTTCAGACTGGGCTTGAACTCACTATGTAGCCCAGGCTGCCCTCAAACTCAAAGCAATCCTCTTGCCTCAGGCTCCTGAGAGCTAGGATTACAGGCATACACCACCATATCCGGGTACAATTCATTTCTATTCAGTTTCTTATTTTTAGAATAATCCAAGTAAGAAAGGGACTTACACTGGTAGGCATTTTTGTACCTCAAAGTGTATGCATTTACCTGTGTTGTCACACTGTACCAACAGAAGACAGCAGTTATCAGTTTCATGTTCATTTCCCAAGAAGTGTGGGATGTGGTAGCCCACTGTGGTTCTGATTACCTTTACAATGAAAGAATACTAGCAAATTTGAAAAAAAACTTACCCTAATTTCCTTGCATTGAGATTATTATTTTCATGTGTCTGCATTTTTAAATTGGTCTAAAATTTCACCTTGTCCTATAGTCCTACTGAAACATTCACAATTCATTGAAGAATTATATATCAGAGAAAAATTAAGAGTCGGCCTCATAAAAGGGAAGCTTGAAACAATGTAAGGAGCTTTTTTTCTAAATCTCAAAACTGGAAAACATTTAGAGATTTAGGGATTTGTGTTCACACACAGCTCGAAAAACATTGGCCTAACTGGTTTAATGTCATAAGAGAAGCAAAATTTCATGATGGCAAGCTGAGAACAATTTCTGTATTAAGCATTTCCTTCTGACCTGTCAAAGCATTGCCTGTCAACATTATTTATATACCACTGGAAATTTCTGTTGGCTTGCTAAAATTACTCAATTAATAATTTCAATGTATGAGCTTTTCAGGAGATTAAAAATATAGATTATAATATTTAAGAAGTAAAATTACTAAAGTAAAATATTAAAAGACACTGGAAATTTTTTACTTCATACACACACCCTCTTTTCTTAGATACAAATATAGATACTAATATTTTATTTTTCCCTTCCTTTCTTTTTACAAGTATAAGATACGGACTTTTGCATGTGGTAGGCTCTAGTTTCATGGGATATATTGCACACATATCTTAAGGATATATTTCAGGAAGCTGGAACCTTTGGAAGTCAGAGATTGTGATGGAAGAAATTAGTGGGTGCCTAATACATTATAGGCATTAAAAAGATGGTTACTCAATGACCTTAAATAAGTGAATGAATGAATGGTGGTTTTCTGCTCAGTAAGAGGCCCTATTTTAGAATTAAGTATTGGAACAAATTCAATTGACACAGGCAAGCCTTGGGGACTTGAAAAAAAATTTAGGTCATTCTTGGAGCATTAGAACCATGTCTGTCAGAGAATTCTTGTGCCTACAGTATAAAAATGTTCTCCCCAAGGAGTACCCTTCAACTCTATCAGAAGACATTCTGGCATTCATGACACTCAAAGTGCTTGAAATTAAAATGTTTTTTAGCCCAACATGTCAGAAGCAAGTAGTCAAAATTCACTCTTTATAATGTGTTCTCGGTGTGTTATTTAAACTTTATCAAAATACAAGTAGTACTGAATTTTAAAAGATTACTTTTGTGACCCAGGCTGAATGAGAAATAACTTGGAAATGATCAAAAAGCAGCCATAGATATGTGTGTGCAAACAGAAAATTTAAAAGCAGATAATCTAGTCCTTCAGTATTTCTTACACATTTCAAATATAATTGGTTCATTTTGTGAAAACAGATTTTAATTCATCTTTTTATACAAAGATTCTGATTTAGTTAGAAATTAAATCTAGAATGATTTAATAATCCTGACTCTGCATGGTTGCTTACATTTGAATTTACTGTGGTCAGTAATTAAAAAATGATCTCTTTGCAGAAGCTTATTTCAGAAGTGAAAGTTCAAGTGGAAAACCAGGTACAAGGTGTCTATTTTAACATAACTGCCATCTGCCCAGATGGGGCCAGAAAGCCAGGCCTGGATGGGTGTGGAAACGTGACAAGCAATGATGAAGTATGTAGCCACGCTTTCCTCACTTAAGATACACTCCATTTTTTGGCATGCTTTCTTGCAGAAATATCAAACCATTCTGAAAAACTACCGGCTCCTCTGAAGAATCTTATTTACACTTCAAAGTAACTATCATTGTCTCTTCTGACAGTTCCTTCTTGTTTTCATTCAAATGACTATTCTCTCAATCTTTCATGTTAAAATAAATAAACACACTATTTTAAACACTTACTCAGTAGTAGTAACTTCACACTTTGGTGTCACAACCAGTATAGATAAGGAAAACTCAATCTCTTTAAACAAGTAGTAACTATAATTATAATGATGCTAATGCCTTTTTAGTCCCTAACTGCTCATTCTCAGAATAAATGTGAGGCTGAAAGTAATTCACTACAGGAGAGAATAGAGAAGTTTAGAAAGGCTAAGAATTCCAAACTCTTTCACTCTGTGATTGTCTCAATACATTCATGACGAGGTAAGGAACTTTGTTACAATGAAGAGAACCATTTAACCAAAAGGGCATGAAAGTGAAGCTCAGATGATAAAAGGATCAGGAATTGGCCCAACAGAGAACAGAAAATGCTTTTAGAGGAAATCCTTGTAGGGTGAAGTGGTTTTTAGTTAGTCATTTACCTCTTGAGGCATCCATTATCTCATTTTTAAATGAATGGCTTGGACTAGATATTTAATATCTCTTCCTTCTAACTTAAGATTCTATAATGTTATTAATTATTTCAGTGTCATGTTATAGAGAAAAAATTAAAAGAATATTCTAATACTTTAAAATTAATGAAAGAGAACTTTCTCTTTCAAGTGTATTTTTTCCTCTTGAATTTTCCAATTTGTGGGTAATGTAATTGTGCCTACAAAGTACAACTTTTGTATTTTAAATTAGTTATCACAAGTTTCTAATTGTGCAATTCCCTCTGTAATAATCCCTTGGATTTTATTCAAAAGATTTATACCATTTACAAAATACACATTTGGTTTCCATTAACTTGAGAGAAAGTATTTTTCTAGCAAAAGATAACACATTTATTTTCTGAAAAATTAAACACAAAACCACAAAATCTCAAGTTTAGAAGAATGGTTTTCCTTACTTCTTATCTTTTTTTGTTTTGTTTTCTCTGCCTACATCCCTTTCCCCCTTTACTTCCAACCAAATATTATAAACAACTTGATTTTCAGAATAGTCATCTGACCTCTTAGTTATTTAAGCCCCAAATTTTGCTCTACTATTAGTAATGGCATTGATAACATTGTCCTACACATCTGGTAATTTTTAATATTCATAAAGACAAAAATATTTTAAGTACAACACAAACTGTATAAATTTTAATATTGTAATAATGATTCCAATTCCTAATGCAGAGATAATCCTAAATTTAGATATTTTGTAATCATGCTATATATAATTCCCAACCAAAAAGCCTAGCACAAATTATTTTTAAACTGTAACAAATTTCAGTCCAACATGAAAATACACACACACACACACACACACACACACACACAGTTATTTTTCCAGAGTTCCTGAAGATATTAAGGTAGATCAAAATATAAATAGATATATTAAATCAATCCCATTGTGAAAAAAAGAAATAGAGAAGAAAGGAAGAACCAATTTCTTCCAGCCTAGTTCTATAGTTCTGAATTAATTTCTCTCACTGAAATATAGGTGTGATTCTGTGTTAAAGTCTTAAGATTTGAAAATGAGTCCTAAGCCTGTTTCCTTGGGTAATATAAGAGAAAATATCATATTTTTCCTCCACTGACAATCTATATAAACTAAAGTTTAACTCTGAAACTTTACTTGGGGCTCTAGTTAAAAAAAAAAAATGTGTATTTGAACATCTCAGAGTTTAAAACTAGTAGAGCAGAAGCCCTTTGTTTTGGTTTATACATCCCTAGTGCCAAATATTCAGCAACCTCAAATTTTCAGAGCTAAATCCAGAAACTGATATATCCTTTGTCAAGCTTTCTAAGAAATCAATTATCAAAAGTGGAAAAGAGGGCTGGGGATTTAGCTCAATGGTTCTGCTGCCTGCCTCTCAAGCGCAAGTTCCCGAGTTCGATCCCCCATACCAAAAGACAAAAAAAAAGTGGAGTAGACATTTCTATAGGCACACTCAGTTCTCTTTAATGATGTACTTTAAGCAATTAGCAATCATTTTTTCCTTTAATTCTCTAAATAAATAATTCTCAAAAAAAAATGATAAAAGATTTTTCATCTGCATATGAGACTACACATGTATTTTATAAATACTGTTAATTTCTCTAAGATAGTATATCATATGGATTCAAATATTATTAGCAGAAATAATATTGTCAATGAAAATTTAAAAGATGTAAATATATTTTCTTTTTCTTCTGACATTTAGGTTCTTTTCAATGTGACAGTTACAATGAAAAACTGTGATGTCACAGGAGGGAAAAGCTATGCAATAATCAAACCGATTGGTTTCAATGAAACCACTAAAATTCATATACACAGAAGCTGCAGCTGTCAGTGTGAAGAGCACAGAAGACCGAAGGGGAAGTGTGTAGATGAAACTGTTCTGGATTCCAAGTGCTTGCAGTGTGATGAGAGAAACTGTCATTTTGATGAAGATGGATTTCTGTCTGAAAGTTGCAAGTCACAAAAGGACCAACCTGTTTGCAGTGGTCGAGGAGTTTGTATTTGTGGGAAGTGCTTATGTCACAAAACTAAGTTTGGAAAAGTTTATGGAAAATATTGTGAAAAGGATGATTTTTCTTGTCCGTATCACCATGGAAATCTGTGTGCTGGTGAGTATAAATATGTACAGATAGTTTTGAATAACCGCTATCACAGTAGCATTTATGTTAACATATATTTAAATCACATTATAAATTGCCACCACTGAATCTGAATTTAATGTGCAAAGTTTTATAAAATTAGTCCATGGCAATAGATTTATAGCACATGATTTATATATTTATAACTTCAGTATACAGGATATACTTTCAAATAAAAACCTAAAATTAAGTATTATTTTCATGTATTCCTTGATCTGGGAAAGAATTACACTAGAGAAGGATATTACTGATAATGGCTGACATGTTTATTGGAAGAATAAGGGTATTCTTCCACAGGGTTTGAATCATTCTGGCAAATGGTCACTCCCTGCAGCTTACTCAGAGGATTTTATTTCTGTCAGGATAAGCGGAAGTGAACTGTAAAAATACACTTTTCATTCACTGGAAAATTCTTAATGCATCATCATAGATGATATTGTAACTCTGTGGCAATTTAAACCTCACCAGTTTATTTTTGGAATATCACCAGCAACAGACTTGCCAAAGGACAGCATTCTCCAAGAAAATACTGGATACTAAGTAATCTAGAAAATTAGTCCCTATGGCCACACACAGACCAAATTTTAAAATGAAATAAGTTAAAATAAAAATCGTGTAAGGATTACTTTTTGGCTAATTCAGTTTACTGCCACCTGCAGGTTAGAGTCCACAAAATCTGTGCATTGTTTGAAAGTTAAAGTAGTTTTTAAATAAGTTAAACTACTTGGTGTCTGAATTCTGTAATTTTTTTTTCATGGTAGTGTAGAAAATTCACTTATCGTGAAAGCATCTTTTTAGTATTTGCATGTTAGTAGATAAATATTTGTTAAATTATTGATGCATAGAAATAATTCATTGTCCTAGGCATATGAAAATTAACAAACATATAAAAAAATTTTCTATTCTTGTATAAGCTAAAAATTTCACCAGTATTAGTTCAATGTGCAATGGCAAATTGTCTTTTTATTTCATTTCACATATACAGTGTTTTATATCCCAAACATTTATTCAGCTGTAACTAGAATTGTAGGGTAGGCTGAATTAAAAGTGACTTTAAAATGAACCAACAGTTGTCGATTATACTATACAGAAAAAGGAAATACTATTTTACAGGGAAGAAAAAGAATTTTCTGAGATCATTACCTATAGCTGTCAGTCTCCTAAAGAGGTTTCAGATACATTTGAGAGTCCCAGTTTCTGCAGTGGAGTATCAAAAATCAGTGTACTGATCCTTCTGTATGACTGTGGTACAGACCCACAAGCAGTTGAGAATCTGCTTTGCATGTGTGTGTATAAGTGCAAACTGCAGGGCTGACATGCATTTCTCCACTAGTCTCCTCTGGGAATAAAAACACATGTTCACAGGTCATCTAGCTATGATTTGGCATGCAGGCTGTACAAGAATCAGGGTCTGGCAGGCGTTTGTTTGGCCTGGATCTCATTAGTTTTACACTTGCAAATTGAGCTGATCCAACGTTAGACTCTATGGGACACTTAACCTATGATGTGCTCAGCACTAAGAGAAGGGAGAGAAGGAGTGAGGGAAAGGAGGGAAAGAAGGAAAGGAGGGTAAAATGAAGGAAAGGGGAGAGGAAAAAAATGTTGGTTATTCTGTAGCCAAATAAGCTTGAGAAGTACTATGTAACCCTGTAAATTGTACTCCCTCTTGGAGACTTCAAGTTCACATTGGCATATTAAATCTTGGTCACTGAGTCTAAAATCCACTTAATTATGTATAACTTGTGTTTCCTCAACATATTTATCACATAAATGCCCTTCACCACCAACTCCCCATGAAACACACACACACACCCATACACACACACACACACACACACACACACACACACCATCTTCCTTTTTCTCTTACACTTACCAGCTAACAACCTGGATTAGGCCTGCCCCAATAACCAACTAAATGATATTCTGTGGACGTGAAAGGATAGTTTAAACTTCTCAGAAGACCTGATCTTTAAACCCAGCCTGAGCAACCCTGGAGCAGCAGCAGTGTTTGTCCTGCAGTCTTTCAGAGTTGTCAGTGGCCTTGGGCAATAGTGAGACTGCAGTAATTGAATACACTGTTGAAGCTCTTAATCGAGTATTCATATGTTCCCATCACTTCAGCTCTTGTAGCTTCTTTATATTTATGTGTTTTAATTTAAAACTGAATCTACAATGACATTGAAGTAGTCTGGCAGCCACCAAAGCAGGAGCTCCCTTTACACTTGTTAGCACGCTGTATTAGTATGGGGAGATGATCTACAATAGAACAGTTTTAAAAATAGACACTCCTAAATGCTGGCACCATTTATGTCAGATACAAACTGATGCTGCTTCCATTCACTTGACTGCCAGTGTGTTTCCATGGAGATGGGAGGGGAATGCAGGCTTGGAAACTCCACAAAGCCAATGGTCTCCATTGCTTAGATCCCAGTGTGACTCTGTTGCAGGGCACGGAGAGTGTGAAGCTGGCAAGTGCCAGTGCTTCAGTGGATGGAATGGGGATCGGTGCCAGTGCCCATCAGCATCAGCTCAGCACTGTGTCAATTCGAAGGGCCAGGTGTGCAGCGGAAGAGGCACGTGTGTGTGTGGCAGGTGTGAGTGCACCGATCCCAGGAGCATCGGCCGCTTCTGTGAACACTGCCCCACCTGCCACACAGCCTGCAGTGAAAACTGGTATGAAGTCTCTGTCCCCCATACACTGAAGACAGGCCTTCAGGACACCTGGTTTTTTTCTTTATTATCCCTTCCTTAAACTTCATAGCTGCCAGATAAATTGTTACCATCGTACCCAAAAAGTAATTGAATAGGGAATTTGAGGAATCGGATTCCAATATTGGGTCACTAAGTAGCTGCAGGAGGCAACAGAATAAATCCAGGTATTCACAACACAGGTTTTTTTTGTTTTTTTTTTTGAAGTAAGTTTTGAAGAAGAGGAGCTGCCTGCTACCCAGCTGGCTACTAGTTAATTGCATGATTAGGACATGTCTTAAAAGTGTGTGGGGCAAGGAGAAGGGAAAAGGGACTTAAATAAAAAGAGAAAATGGAATGAAAAAACCAGAAATGGAGGTTTTGTAAATGGGGAATGGAAGAGGGTTGAAGGAAGGAGAGGGTGATGGGAAAGAGAATTAAGATATATCATGTACAGACACAAATTTCCCATGATGAATGTCATCATTATGTATAGCAAATATATACTGATAAAAACTCCTCTGTGCCTTAATTTCCTGATATAGAGAATGAGGATAATAACAATGCTTTGCTACAGTTCTGTGAAAGAATTAAATGACTTGCATAAAAAACATCCTCAGTGCATGGCAGTCACTGAGTAAATGTTAGCTGTTATTGTTGTGCTTTATTTTTATTATTTTAATGATTAAAAATGATGGTAGCTATGAAGCAGTCTAGAAATGTGATCCATATATGAAAGGTGACACATTAAATGAAAGTAACATTATTGTTTTGCACTAATATTTTTCCAGTAACAATTTTAGACTTGCTCAGAGACCACTAATCTAAACATCACTGTACCTTCCAATTTGTTTTATTCAAATTTTTAAAACATTTACTTCCTCACATTGCAAGATTTCATAATTGTGTGTAGTAATTTATTTAGGTCATTTAGAAATGCAGTATTTTAAAATAATGGTGTGATTTTTCTAGTGTACCTTATCAAAATTTACATTATTGTATTTCTCCATAGAAAACATTACAGCCTATTCACATTTTTAAAGAATAAATGTTTTAAATTGGCCCTCACAGGAATTGTATGCAATGTCTTCACCCTCACAATCTGTCTCAAGCTGTACTTGCTCAATGTAAAACCTCATGTGCTCTCATGGATCAGCATTATGTGGACCAAACATCAGGTAAGTCAAAGGTTCATGCTCAAAGCATGCAGGGTATGTATTGAGGCCCCGTAACTAACTATCCTAAAGAAAAGGCTAATGGCTTTGACTCTGGTTTCATTATAAAACACTGCTTTATTTTTTAAACAACTTTATTGAGGTATCACAGGCAGGCAAAAACTGCACATATTCATGTATCCATTTTAGTGAACGTACAATTCTTTTGTTTAAATCTCTCAGAGATGGTGTTCCTGACTAGTTAGGTTTTCCATCTCATCTTCACAGCTCTCTTTCCATACTAAGCACCTCCATGGAGGGGCCTCCAAATGAATTGGCTAGAAAGGCTTCAGTTAAGCCCAAAATATGGGTTCCCCATGTAGACTCACTTCACTAAGAGGTAAGATCTACAGAGCCATCATTTTCCTTCATAACTCAAACTTACTTCCAGTTCAGACCATCCTTATATCTAATCAACATTTGCTCTGATATTTCAGGTGAAGCCATAAAATTCTGAGCAACAATGATCTGCTTTTACAATATATGTAACTTCCAAAGAGCATTCCTGAACTTCTCAATCCACAGTTTAGGGTGAATATAACTGTGGCATAATGAAAAGGATATGGAACTTTTAGCCTGAGTACCTTAGCCTAAAGCCCTTTGCATTAGTAGTTAGGAAATACCAGCCCTCCCAAAAATTTCCCTGAGCATCAGTTTCCTCATCTGTGAAAGGAACGTAATACCAACCTCAAAGTCTGTAAAACATTAAATGAGAGTGCAGAGAAGAACAAACTTTCTCCCAAGCTTTGTTTTCTTTTTCTTTCACATCTACATTGATCATAGCCCATAATGAATTTGGCTCTGAAAAGAGCCCCATGTGCTGCCAGCTGGGGCTGCAGCAATCACTTCAGAAAGCCAAGTGCCTTTCTAATAAATAGGGCCCTTACTATTAACATGTCATTTATTATGTTAAGTAAACATTACTCTGACTTAAGTGTTGTTACAAATAGTATTCCCTTAAAACTCCTTAGGAAAAGCCCTGGCCTGACCTAAACTAAGAAAAGCATAGGTCAGGGATAAATGTTTGAGCATCCATGACAGCATTTAAAAATGTCCTCTGTCTTAATCCATGAGAACTACTTGTGAAATGTGTCGGTAGCTAGAGGACTTCCCTCCCCTTGACAACTATTGTGCAAGAAGAGGGAAAGGGCATTTCTTAGGCACCTCAGTTATCTGCCCACTCAGTCATACTTAAAGGGTCTCCTTTTGGTCTCTCTGGCTAAGCTCCCACCTGGAGAAGAGCCAGAAAGTAGGACCACACCACGTGCCCCTGCTGAGGATTTGCCTTAGCAACTGAGTGGCCTGAGTCAGCAAAGGGAAATGACAGTCTGTCCACATAAATGGCAGGAGGGCCATTAACCAGAAGGTGACTGTGCTGCACTCAAAGGGCTCCTTTGAACACAGCATTTTGGATTCTGTCTCCCTGAGATCTGTAACAATGGAAGAGTTGCATTAGAATCTGGCATTTCCACCCCAATGAGTAGCCCAAGGGTCTGCCTTTGACCTTCTTTTCAAGGTCCCTTATCACTGACCAAAAGAATCTGGGCTCTGTGGCACAGGACCTCTCGCCCTTGTCACTGAGTTCTTGCCTTACTCAAGAGCATATTTGGCCATCACTACAAGTTCAGGCCCACAGCACCCATGATTGGATGATGCGCTGTTCCCAGCCTTGGCAAGTCCTCTTGCTAGAGGCCTACTCAGTTACAAGGGAGACTTCGGCGTTTAGACAAAGTTCCCAAAGTCTGCAGAATGGGCGGAGGAACACATGCTTCTTCAGGCCAGGAAGTAATTTTACAAATCTGGGGCAGCTGGTGAGTTCTGTGGAATACTAGCTATTGTGCAATGCTGTTCCTCTAGGTTGGGGTGATACATCTGGCAATAACCGAGTCAGCCACAGATTTTCTAGTGAGAGTTTGCCAAAGGACGGTGCTAACACAGAGGGTTAGCATGCCTCTCCTTTTAATACAGCATTTCTTTCTCCAGCTAGAAATTATTTGTTCCTGGAAAAATGCATAATTAATTTTAAAAGCAAATAGAATAGGTTTGGTTAAGAGAAGTAAAACATAAATTAATATAAAGAGAAGTGTGTATTGTCCCAAATTAGACACTCCTATTTCCTGAAGAAGCCATGTGTGGTAATAATGAAATCTTATGCTGTAATTTCAGGGGATATATTTATTCATCTATTAGAGTGATAACTGACTTAGTTCTGCAGGTGTTTATTTTCCATTCGCAATGTGCAACAAATGAAGAGAAAGCATAATAACAGATATATATATATGTATATATATATGCCCAGAGTTATTAAATACATTTTCCACTTAGTGCTCAACAGTACACACCACAAAAATTGCTCCTTGTTCTATCATGGATAAAATTATATTTGGGTAAAGGACTTAAAAATATTCCAACTGATACAATTATAGGATCTAGGTGCAAAGAAATAATGTTATTAAATGCTTTAATTGTGGCTACTTTCTAAAGGAAGGTTGTATGTTGAAAATATTTTAATGATAAATGTTCAATAAAGAGTAAGAGTCCTCTGACTTGAAATGTGGATTTGTAAATTGAAATGTGAATATCATTTACTTGATAGAATCCTTTGATTTATTCATTCTGATTTTTAATGTTTATTTTGTTTTATTACAGAATGTTTATCCAGCCCAAGCTACTTAAGAATATTTTTCATCATATTCATAGTTACTTTCTTGATTGGGTTGCTTAAAGTCCTTATCATTAGGCAAGTGATACTGCAGTGGAATAGTAATAAAATTAAGTCCTCATCAGATTACAGAGTTTCCACCTCAAAAAAGGTCAGTGAATCTTTAAAAAGGATGATTATCAGTATGTTAGTGCCTAGCAATATTTAGGGCCTAAATTAACAATAATATTTCTTCTGTATCAAGGATACGTTGATTCTGCAGAGCGTTTGCACACGAGCAGTCACCTATCGACGTGAGAAGCCCGAAGAAATAAAAATGGATATCAACAAATTAAATGCTCATGAGACTTTCAGGTGCAACTTCTAAAAAAATATTTTAAAATACTTTGTGGGAAACTGGATTTTTAATAATTGCTCCTAAAAATATAAATGTAAAAGTCACAGGAGGAAACAAATTGTTCAAGATCATGCCAATTGCTGGTTGTATATTCGAATGAAGACTGACATGCATCCTCATTGCCATGTGACTCACATAGCTGCTGAATTTTTCAGAGAAAAATGTGTCTTACTACTGTTTTGAGACTAGTGTCATGTAGCACTTTACTGTAATATATAACTTATTTAGATCAGCATAGAATGTAGTTCATCTGAAGAGCACTGATTACACTTTACAGGTACCTGCCATTCCTGCGCTTCCCAGAGAGACACAGCATTCTTGGACAGGATAGCACTGTGTCACTACAAGGGTGCACCCCTGCCCAGAATATGCAGATGAGCAAATAGCCCGGCAGTTACATACTAAGACTGCCAAACACATCAACTATTGGCAGTGATTAGCCAAGAATGACTAGACTCGTTCAGGAGTGAACAGACAGTACTTTACTCTTAAGGGATATTGCTTGTGAAACTGTGTAGTTTGATGCATGTGTTTGTGGTCTCCTTTTTACAAAACGGAAACTAATTCTAACCTTCTCTCCTCTTTGCATTATTTTCATTCCTTCCAGGATAAGTTTATATATGTCACAGATGACTGGATTAAATAAGTGCTGAGGTACTACTGTCATAAAAAGCCTGTAATATAATGTCACTTTATTAGAATAAGTGGTTTTAAAAACTGAATGTTAAGAAAGAACACTGTAAAGTATCATCTAAACCTGAATAGATTCAGTATCTAAAGATGTAGTATCTTCTTACCTGGTAAACTGGATGGATTATTTCACCATTTCATTAGTCTAATATGTAAATTGAAATTTACAAGACCATGAGAAACTGCCTCAAGCTAAGTCCCACAACTTGTGAATGAATTTCCTAAGATTTTACCCCAAGTAGATATCAACATTTTCCAAATGAAAAGGTATATATTTTTGACCCTTCAATGAAACCTAAATATATTCTTTCCGTGAATTCACCCCAACTTGACCCATCAGATTTCATAAAAGTGTCAAACTGGAGGAGGAAAGGTGATGTCTTAAAAATAAGCTAGTTCTCCCTTAGAGAACTGAAGCTTAGTAAGTTTAAATGATTTCTCAAAGAAACATCCAAGTGATGAAGTGGCAGCATTAGGTTAAGAATTTATGTCTTCTAATTGCAAGCCAGTGCTCATTGCACAATAGCATGCTACCTCTTGAATCTTTACAATACTCAATTGGCAAAATTTTTAAATGTGATTTACTGATGTTTTAAGTATATAGGTATGATAAAATGTCAAAGCAAGGTAGAGAAGACCAATACAAACTGAATTGTCCATAATTGACTTCCAATCTTTCCTCTAATCAGCATCATGGCATGACACAGGGGAATCTCTTCACACTGCAACCTATGAACAGCACCCCCTGGAGTTGTGCTGTGCTCAATTCCAGACTTTGCTAAGGAGACCTGTGAGCCCTAACTTCTCCAAAGGAAACTTCTTCACATGCCATACCCCTACAGACCTATTCAGTCTGAGTTTATTGGCTAGCAGTACAACTGTCCAGTGTGAAATACAATTTTATCTAAGACAGCAAATAAAATTATTTCAAATGTCTTCTTATAAATAACTTCCCAAATTTGCTGTCTTCCACCATTTGAGTGAAAGTTCTAGATGAAAACTAATCTCCATCCTGTATTCTGGCCTAGAGAGAACTGAAAAAGAAATGTAAGTTGTTCTGAACCAAACAAGCACAACAGCTCCATTAACTGTCCTCAATAGCTAGTAGTTATGATGCTAAATTGAACATAATTTCCTTCCCCAAACAAGAGATTGGGAACATTGACTTAATTCTGTACTGTGACTCACCTATGTAAGAAACTTTGGTTACTAACGATGATGTAAAAATTGTATTTTGTAGCCTAATGTATATAAGCATCCTTTTATAAATACATAAATACATGGATGCCTGAAAACCCACCAAAATAAAAAAGTAAAAGATATCTATTACCTAAAATGCTGACACTTTAAAACTTAACATTACAGTGTTTGTGAACAATAAATTAATTATTGTAAGGAATGAGAAAATCAGCATAATAAAATGAAATCCTAAAAAATTAAAGATTTATATATTTTATACCCTCACTTGTTTGCACTAACTTTAAAATGGACCAAGGCTGTTATCATAGGATGGAACAAACTTCCTTGTAGGCAATTCAGTGCTACATGATGATTGTAGTTATCTTGGGATTGTAGTTATTGGGATGTCTTGTGCTTTCTTTTTTGTTTGTTTTTTTACTTAAAAAGCTAATTCTTTAAAGATTTTAGGGCTTATATATTACTTGAATAATTGATGTTTTTCTGTGTAATGGTTTGTGAAAAGATAATTAATATTTGACTAGTTATACTTAATTAAAAGATAAGGGGAAACAGGGTATTCTTAGATTAAATAATTTATGTAAATAGAGCCTATTTTCAGCTACTATGACCACAACAGCCTTTTGAGATTCATGGATATTAAATACAATTAATGAAACTTTAGCCTGCTAACAAAATTAAGAACTCGAAAAACACTTTGGTACAGTATCATGTTTATTCCCTAAAATCTGTTAATGACTAACAAGAAATGTACCACACATACACTACAACATAACTGTATGCAACTGATTTCTCTGGGACACCTTTACACTGTTGTACACATATGTTTATACATATCTGATATATTTTTTTGAAATTTGGTAGTATTTATTAAGCCATAGACATTCTTTAGAAAACCTAAAAATTTGCTAAAATTCTGATTATGTCCAAGATGTTCAATTTAACTTTGGTTTATAAATATAACAAAAAATCTAGGTGTTTCTGGAGGCAAATTTTTCAGAACTCAAAAAAATTAAAATTAATGGATACATCAGAACAATATCTCACCAAAGAATAAATCCCAAATATTTACAGTACTTGTTTCATTTCCACTGAAGATATTTTATGTATAAGAACAGACATCCATGAAACACTGAAATAGTTTATGTTAGACTTTGAAAATTTTTCTCCACGGAATTTTACTCCTCCTGGTACCTGTAGACTAGATTAGACTCACAGGCTTTTCCTTCCTTTCCTGACTCATATTTTTCCACTTACATTTCCCAAGAGATTTCCCTAAAACTGTAAGCACAATAAGCCTAATTGTGAAAAATAACAGAATGTAATGGTATAAATAAGATCTTCATTTCCACATATCTCTTACTGATTTTAATATTCATTTGATTCTATGCTTTTAGACAAAGACAGACCCATTAAATACTAAGAATTTAAAATTTTTACAACTCTTTGAGCTTTGTTCCATTTTTAAAGATTCATGATATATATCTTGCCATAAATCTAGCAAGTGAACTTCAGTTACTTGGGTGTTCAATTATGTGCATATTGTATTCTTTTATTTACTCTTAATATTCAAGTTATGACTGTATTGATCTAAATTGACCTTACAGTCTCCACTTAATGCAATGCAAACCTTTTCAAAGGAATATAGAATTTCCTTCTTTCAGATCATTTCCCTTTTATAATTCCTCTATATCAAATTTATTATGTGTAACTGATTATATGTATCCATACGTGTCTCACTGATTTTAAGACACACACTTTTTCAATTTAACAACTATGAAACTGTGATGTCTCCTGAAATTGTTGACATCTTAGGTGCAGTGTTTAAAATAGTTTTGAATAAATATTGCACTAATTCAACTTTAACTAAATGTTCCTGAGTATTGGAATATTCTTTTCTTATAAATGTTTGTGAATTAATTTATCATAACATGGGATGCCAATTTTCAGTACAACTGAATTACGTACAACTCAGTAATGAGCCCAATTTTCCTATTATCAGCTCAGATCCTGTGTACGTTTAAGTTATAAAAGCTCAAATTCCCAAAGGACTCCTGTTTATATTTTATGGTATGAATGATGATTTCAGCAAACCTCATTTAACAGACAAGAATGTGTGGGTTTCTCCAACTTTTCTTAACAAATTTTTATTCTTTCTAATCCTAAGGAATTTTTATATAATCATCTCACATTTAAACAAAATTAACTGGAAAATGTCCCATGAAACCATCATAATTACATGTTACAGCATTTAAAAAAAAAAAAAAAAAAGATGTTAGGGGAGGGGATTTAGCTCAGTGGCACTGTGCCTGTCTCATAAGCACAAGGTCCTGAGTTCGATCCCAGTACCAGAAAAAAAAAAGATATTGCAGCATCTTATATCTCTTGTTTCAATGGCAGGAGCAAAATATGATACAACAAATCAGTCTTGTGGAAAATAACTTTCCTCTCCAGTTTTCCTACTTTGTTTTTTTCTTCATTCTTTCTGTTCTTTTGGTGATTTTCTTTCAAATCCATATAATGACAGCTGTAAAATTGCATATTTAAATTATTTTCATTACATGAAATGATGGTTCAGCTCTCTGGGCAGCTTTTAATGAAATACCTGAAAGTAATAACACTACTCTTAATCTACCTGAAATGATTTTCTGCATAAAATTTATCTTCGTAAGCTAACTATATTGAGAAGTTTCTAGCCTCTACAACCAACTTCAATTGTCTAATACAACAGTATAAAAATATTGTAATAATTGAGAATTGAAAATGTGATTTATATAAAGACTTTATCAGCTTTACACTATCCAACAGACAAATGTGATTTTGATAAGATTTCTACTTAATGATGAGTATGGTACCAAGATTTTATGAAAAATATTGAGTATAGAATATTTTTAATTCTAAATTATAAGAAAATACAAATTTGCACATATTAATATAGAAATTCATTTGTGTATATTTAACATACTTTAAAATTACTTTACATGTATCTGCTACTTTACTAAGATTTTTAAACCTTTGCAAAAATTACAAATGTTTTTAAATTATCAGTAACATAATCTTACTATTTTTCACATAACATATACTGCCTTTGTAAAAAAATTAATATAGAATGTATTTTTAAATTAAAATATTTGAATATGAAATAGCTCGGAAAAAAAAGGAAATTCTTCCTGAACATGTTTCATATTATTTCTGGCTTTGGATTATACATATAGTTAAATTGCCTTAAATGATACAAAAGATTCCAAATATGATAATTTCACATAATATACTATGAACCTGCTCACACAATTCTTGATTGACTACTAACTTCTGTCTTATGTATTTATTAAAGAGCTGACACTGTAGATTGTTGTAAGATGTTTATTTTTCTAACAGAGCTTATAACCATTATGACAAGGCATTTAATTAATGCACCATTCTGTTCAAAAGTAGTTGTTAATCAATATGAAATTTTGTGTTTTAAAATAAAATGTAAAGATCTAAGAATACACAGGAGGCTTCTTTATTTGCCATGTGCTACATGACCCTCAACACTACCAGACAATGGCAAATTGTCACATGAGGAGATGTAGTTAACATCTGTTCCCTGTCATTAATAATTCCCTGTCATCAATAGAGGACATTACATAATTTTTTAAAGCTACTACTTCTAGACTATTGTGAGACTAATGATGAAGAGGTAGGCCCATCTTAATTGCCCTTTCCCTTTTCACAGCTGTGCAACAGTGGAAATGAAATGAATGATACAATATTAAAGAACTGAGACAATTTTTCTATCTGCACAAGACTTCTACCATCAAATATATGGTAGAAATCTTGATACAAATGCAACGTGTTCATAATTTCAACTGAAGATTCTAGAGAGTCATACTTAAATGAAATTTATTAGATTCTTGTGTACTGTAGATCCTTCATTTAACCTGTAGGAGAGAATAAAGCAAAGAGTGGGAAGCGGGGATACATAAAGCATCATTGACATTTAAGAGTCCCTTTCCTTCAGTAGGTTTTAATAGTTTGAAGAAAGAGATATGGTGTAAGGCACCTTTAGATAAAAAGCTTATTGTGAGAGATCAGATAGAAGCTATCAGAAGGTTTCACCAGGCTTTATTTTTGAGAACTCATCCCAGTTGTGTCTGAACTAGTCTTTCAGATTCAGAATCCTCATTGTGTTATGACTGTTGTTTGGTACCATTCCTCTCTCTTCCCTTTAGTAATAGGATCTAACTCCTGAGTTTTCACAAAGCACACACAACCTGAGACTGAAATTCCCATCCTCCTTTGCAGCTACCCATAGGTACAATGGGATGGAAGAAGTATTATTTCACTGAATCCTCAGCAACACCAACACTATTTTCCTAATGAGGAAAATGAAGCACAGAGAAGTTAAGGATTTTAAACAATTATATATATTCATTCAGTAAGTAGCCAAGGTTGGATTCATACCCTGGTTCATTTTTCTTTCTGTAAGTGATTGATCATATAGATTATAAACTATAGGATAGACTTTACTAGTTCAATATCAGAGGTTCATCTTTGTCCCTTATGCCCCATAAAACATATGCTACAAAGTAGAGGTGCAGACACATATGTACAAATATCACACAGAAAAAAGTAATCAGGCCTTAAAAATGACAAATGAAACTCTAAGTACACTCAAATGTCAGAGTTAGGAGTGTGAGGAGAGCAGAAGGCCCATGAAAGGAGCATTGGTATTTCAGGGAAAATGAGCATGGACATGCTAAAAGGGGAGGTTGGGAGACCAGGGGAATGGTAAAGCATGACCAAAGGGAGGGGTCTCCATCGCATAATACGGAAGCATGGGCTGAGTGTGGTGGTCCATGCCTGTAATCCTAGCACTCTGGAGGTAGAGGCAGGAAGTTCACCAGGAGTTTGAGGTCACCTGGATTACACAGTGAATTCACGGCCAATCTGAACTACATAGCAGGCCCTATTTCAAACAAACGAAAACAAATAAAAATATACAATAGTAAAAGGGAGTAACCTAAACATCCTGGATTATGGAAAGCTTAATTTCTAGCCTAAGAATGTCAAGATTTGGTTACTAGGAAGGAACAAGCTGAAGTTTTTGCATAGACAAGTAATACCATTGGAATTAAATTTGTTGGCATACATTTACATACACCATAATTTTTAAACATTAATTTGTATTCTCCCTAATCCTACATGTAAATACTTTTTAGTATTTAACATATTAAATTACTCTTAGTACTATACTTAAATATTGTTTACTACTGCTATGAAAAAATTTACAAAAGTAGAAAAAATACTAAAAATCCAACTTCTTGGTGGTAATCACTTTTGTATATAATTATATTTTTCAAATTTTTCTATTCACGTTATAGCTATTGTACATGTATTGTTTGTTTATTGTAAAATCTCAAAATATCTAAATATTAAAATTAAATAAATTAATAATTTACTCCATTTCAATCACTCCATTGACCGTTGCCATATATTTCCAGAAAAACACACACACACACTTATTTATAACTAAAAAATAAATACCCTATAAATAATAGGTGCTTTCTGTTCTTTCTGAAGAGTATTAGGGTTTATTTAGTGAAGCATACTTTTTCTTCAAAGGCATATTATTTTTCTATGTGCAACACTTACAAATGTTTCTATAGGTGGATAGCATCCCATCTGTAAAAATGCCACAATCACACCCCATTTTCATCAAGAAAACAATGAGCAGGATATAGTACCAAGTACAAAACATTGGTACCAACCTCATTATTCAACAAGAGGACATTAGTTAAGTTGTTTTTGAAAAGGAGAGAACTGCATATTTACAAAAGAGAAAGTGGCAGCCTGTAGAGAGAAATGTTCATGATGAGAAGGTTTGGATACATCTAGGGGTGAGAAACAGAGAGGCATTTCAAATCATGACAAAGGGAGGCAATTCAATGAGTATGAAGATTTTTTTATGAAGAAGTAAAGGTCTAGACAAAGCAAAAAGGAAGAGACTGTGATCTACTGCCCAAAGATTTGAGAGAACTTGGGCATTGGCTAGATAAAGGTGATAAAGGAGTTTGTCATAGAGAATTATAATGTCAACTCCAAAAGACATTGCAGGCTTCTATCCAACCTGGATTAAACTGCCAATCTGGTCTCACAAACCACTTGCTCTTGCCAATCCATGACTTTTAGACTAAATTCTCACTTTATCAAAATATTTAGTCAGACAAAACTAAAGTTGAGAATTTTTAAACCATGTCAATGATTATGCTTTCAAATACTATTAAAATAAACCCAATTAAAATATAAGAAATATATCTTTCAGTATAATTATTTATATGCCAATACTACGGTCATGATTAGAAGCAGTAGTGGACCCTAAGATAATCAAACGGCACTTTTAGTATCAATACAGCAATACTGTAGCACTTATTTCAGCTGATGCATTATTTAGAACTAATGTTAGAACTAGTGTTGCTCTGACCTTTTCCGGTGAGCTACCTAAAGATCAGAAAAACAAAGTTGATACTGTGGTGGTTGCCTATAATCCCAGCACTTGGGAAGGCTGATGCAGGAGAGTCACAAGTTTGAACCCAGCCTGGACACCTTAGTAACCTAGAAAGACCTTGTCTTGAAATAAAAAATAAAAAGCTCTGGAGATACAGCTTTGTGCAAAAGCCCTGGGTTCAAGCCCCATTACACAAGTAGGTACATACATACATTTTTTAAAAATGTTTTAAATCTGAAAATATTTTTCAGACTATACTGTTGAAAGGAAAATGCTTTTGCTGCACTTCAGCATGTGCTGTGCGGCTTTTCCTTAGTTACACTTACAAAGTCCATCCTAACCACCATTAAAGTTATAAGATCCAATTATCTGCTTCAGAAAATTCTAACTTACCTCGAACAATTTTTTTACATTTTTGCCTATTAAATATAGTATAATCGATGAGTGTATAGTTCTTAAAGGGTGGCTTTTGTCAACAGGAGCAGCATCACCTGAAAACCTGTTAGAAATGAAGATATTTGGTCTCCAGCCCCGAGCTTCTGAAGCAGAAACACAGGAAATGAGGCCCAGGAATGAGCTTTAACAAGCTCTTTAACTGGTTCTAATCCCCAACAAGGTTTGAAAACCACTTCCATAAAGAGTGAAGACTGGCTTAGGGAGATCATTATTACAGAGAGTTTTATCCAATTTTGAGGCAAAAATATATTCTTCAAAAATGTATTCAAATTTATCACCATTTCACTAAAATTTGCTCTTATTTTGTAGTAATTCTGCTTTAGTGTGGGCTTGGAAAAGGGAAAAGGTTCAGACTACAATGAATAGCAAAAGGAAAAGAAAATAAATATACACATATATATAAGAGTCAGTCAGACCCAAAGATTAAGTGAATGATCAGGAAAGTAAATAGTTTTCCCATATTGAAAAAAATGAAGCCAGGATAGAAGCTAGAAGATCAACTGTCAATTCAGTATGTGGGAAAAAAGAGAAAAGAAAGGAGACATTGATGAAAAGTACAAATTTAGAAAGTATAAATTGTCCAACTTAATTTTCCATGAAACTCCATCTTGAAGGTAAGTGTGTAGGCATCTGCTATGTTAGGCTTTTGCAAGCTGTGATGTTTTGTATATTCCATTTTTCTACTAAGATACTAAATGGAAATAGATCACAGAAATTTAGGATATAAATTATTGTAGTGAAAAACTCCATCTTCTCTTATAAGTGTTTAATATTTAGCTACAGAGAGTGACTGGCTCTCATTTTGGACAAGAATCTAGTTTGGCCCACTAGCAAGAGGGAGCACCAAAGTTAGCCCACAACCTCGCCTCCCAGAACATTACTGAGAAAAGAATCACAGATGAGGAGTGCCATTCCAAGTCAATTAACAAGCCATAGATGATTAGGACAAAGATGCTTTTGCTTTCTGTTTCTCCTAAAGAGGAAGAGCAAATTACTACAAGTAGCAATTTAAAATTTCTCTCTTGTTTGATTATCTTTTTTTTCCCCATTAAGTTTATTGGTACATTTTCGGTATAAAATACAGTTACATTCA